GGCGAAGAACAGGCTGGTAATTTATGGCAACAGAGATGGTGACGTATTTCATTGATTCAGTGACGCATGATTGTTTATCTGTTAGAAGCATACGATAAAAAAGACTTTTGTGAAAAAAAATGACAAAATAAACAGAGAGCAAAGAACATGTTTCGCAGACTGATGATGACCAATTTTCTCACAGTTTGAAAAATGAGTGGAACTTACTCGAACTCAGTCAGTCCGCCATGTATGGTCACAATGAGTTTCGGAGGAGGCAAGTTCCAAACTTTGTCCAAAAGGTCGCTTAGAATAGCTGGATCAGTGTCAAAACTGGCACGAACGAATTGCGCCCGTGCTTGATGGGCGCATCCTGAGATGGAAAAAAGACTCAGCACAACGAAACAATTGGTTTTTTTAGTTAGGAAAATAAATAAAGAATAAAAATAGCTGATTGCAGCTGGTGGCTAGGCGCAAAATCCGAAGCTCTTGGGATTCATTCACAAGCTTTTCGTGAGCATAAAGAAAGCCGCCTGCTGAGCCAATTTGATTTTATGAAGTTCATGAAAATATTTTGCTCATTCAAAAGCAAGAGACAAGCTATCTGCATACACCATGTAACGTTCAAGTAAAAAGAAGTTCTGCAAATTTTTTTGTCATAGACATCCTATCAAAATGCTGATGATGATAAAATTTTATTAAACTGCGCTAGTGATAAGCAAACGTCTATGTTCATTCCAAGCAATATTAGTATTTTGAATTGAGCAAATAAGCAGTAATTGTAGAATGCAAATTCGCAGACATTTTGGTGGTGGAAATAATCAACGGCTCTTGTACACCATTTTTGATACGCCTTGAATCCCCTAGACCAACCTTCAAACACAATCGTTCCGTACGAATTTGTTGGTGTCAGTTGCGTATTTTTTGCTATTGTCCATCTCAGTCCATGTGCTTTTCTTCCACTCTGAAATATATGACCATTCCTTCTTGTACTTCAGCCAAAAGCGGTAAGCAAACCTTTGTCTGTTCATGACTATCGGATTCGTTCGTGGTCTCATCATCTGCTCCTGGAAGTGTCAGAAATTTGTGAGGTTGCATAGGTTTTCGAGTTTCCTGTGGATGTTGTGCTTCCGCCATGCCACAGCCACATCTGAATCAATTTCTATAGATGGAATAATTTGTCCTAAGAGACTGAGATCTCACCTAGTGCTATATTTCTGAGATGGAACAAATTTACAGCATTCTCTTTTCTTGATCTTGCGCTCAATCCATGCATTTCCACTTTTCTAGA